ATGCCATTGTGTTTTGAAGGCCTGAGCCCCAAATCAACCTGTATTGTCCAAGGAATGGACTGAAAGAAGCCTTTTATGTTTGGAAGGTTGAAAAGGAAAACCTTTTGGTGAAGATCCTAGGCCTAGAAAAAAGGTCATGTCTGTGGGACAACTGAGTCGGCCTGGGCAGAGTATCTGGGAGATTCACTCGGTTGAAAGAATTGTGTGGTAGGGCTATGTTTGAGGAGCCACTTAGGGACACCGTGGGTCAGGCACTGACCTGAGGGAATGGAGCTGCTCATAGAGATGCCCTTTGAAGAACTGTATGGGCCCATGGCAGGAGCAGGCCCAAGAGCTCTCCCAGCAGCAACAGACCAGCACTGGGTCAGGAATAGCAATTATTTCATGTTGACATATGTAGATCTACCTGATTTATAATAGCTATATTAACAAATCCATTATGAGATAAAACAATCTATTTTATAATCTATTTAACCAGCCTCCTATTTCTAAACATTTGGATTTTGTCTAGTGTTAGGTTACTGCAAACAGTGGCACACTAAATACCCTTGTTTCATCATGCACCTACGTGCAAAAATATGGTTAGAATCTATTTCTAGAAGTTGAATTATCAAATATAAAGGTTGTGTACTTTTGAAAGATATTTCCCAATTGCCCCCTAAAGATAGACTTATAGTCTCACTAGCAATGTATGGGCATACCTTTTCTCAGCCCATGTGTATTATCTAACTTACTGATTTTGAAAGATGATCTGATATAGCTGATAGATGAAAAATGGTATTCATGATTTTAAATTATATTTCTTCCATTTTCAATGAGATTGAGCATTCTTTTATATGGTGGAACTACCAGATTTCTTCTTCAACAAAATTGTTTATTCATGTCCTTTGCACATTTTCTAAGATTTTTTTCTTATTGATCAGGTAATGATCTTCTACATAAAAATTAGGTCCTTGTTATATGCATTGTAAATATTTCTTTCTCTGGTTTTTAGTTTTCTAACTTTCTTGTATATATTTTCTGCTGGTGGATTTTTTTTCTTTAATTAGTCACATGTATTAATGTTTTCATTGTATGGCTTCTGGGTTTTAAGTATTGTTTAGAAGGACCTTCTACCTCTTAATATTCTTTTTAAAAATATTCTCCAATGCTGATAGACATTTTTTTTCTGATAGACATTTTTTTACATTTAAACCTCTAAGTCATTTAAAATGGATCTGATGTCTAATTGTAACTTAAGTATTTGGGGCTAATTCAGGACTGTCTATATTATTCCAGTAATTTGTTAGTGTATTCACTTGCCATCATCAAACTTTGTTAATTACTATGACTTCATGATTTAGAGCCTAATCCTGTAATCAATATTTATTGAGCAAATATTATCTTGGTTTTAAGAAAGACTCAAAGAACGTTTGGACTCCACCCTGCCTTCTTGAAGACAAGAAACAGGCTGTTGCTGGTAAACTCTGAGTGTACCCTCATCTACAACTCAATAACTGGCTGCCTGCTGGGTGTTCGTGGCACTCAGAGAACACTAGGTAAAGAGATGGAGGTGTTAGAAGTAGAGGACAAGACCCAGTGTTTGGCCGTGGGTAAATCTCTGTTCATTCCTACATTCTTTCTTCCCCAGTATGGATTTGATCTCTGTATAGACTTCTAAGACATGTTCTTTTTATGCTCTAGGCAAAAGCATTTTGAAAAGCTCTGAAAGAAAGGTCACTATTTTACATTGCTTGCTTCAGATCTGGCAACAATAATATCCTAACCTGCTTATTTCTTCTCCAAAGTCTATGCAAAGTGTCCTAAGCAGCTGAGTCTCCAAATCCCTATTCATGTCATTTGTTCAAATACAGAGAAAAGCTAAACATTTTGTTCATCCTTCTCAAAACAGCAGCAGAGTTACGATCCACTCCCCCAGATAATTGACTTTAATAATGCCTTAGAGACACAGCACGATTAAACATTTAGCTGCCACTTTTGGGGGAATGCAAACACACACACACACACACACACACACACACACACACACACACAATCACACACACACACACACACACACACACACACACTGTGCAAGATTTAATTTTCTCCCGTTTTCCTCCCAGGTCTGACTTCTATGTCACTCCAAACATCAAGTAAATAGATGAATAGTTTCTCAGCAGTTGTGGGGCAGAAGGTAAGAGTAAGATTGAAACAAAAGCTCTAAAGATGAGCTCTTTCAAGAAAATCAGCAAGTGACAAATAACATAAAAGATAATAGTCAGTGACTAGCCTCTGGCAACTGGGAAAAAGATCACAAAGATGTCTGGCAGCTTGTCCTGCTCAGAACAGAATTCAATGGCTCCACAGAGCTCAGAAACTTGGGGTAACTAGTGCTGAGCCTCTCCGCAAGTGCGATTATGTTCCCACTCCCCTTGTTTTGGGGGGAGCTTTCCCCAAGTTCAAAGTGTAAACATTTTAAATTGGTTCCAACAGCTAGAGGATTTAAGTCAAACCTAAAGTCAGTAGAATAAGTCAGTGTTTCTCATGTTAAAAACAAGACTATGCCCGCAATGGAATCACTCATGCTAAGTCCCACATCACCAAAACCAAAACTTAATTACAGTTTTGGCTCTTCCAGAAATGGAATCTTATACCAGTCAATCAGGACTCACCTGAGCAGCACTAGTGAGGTAACGTGCATGATGGACTCCGGTCATCCCCTAAAGGAATGTGACCTTGCAACAATCAATCCCTTTTTTGCCCAGTATAAAATTTCTGTTCCTGGTCCTTTCTGCCTATGAAACAGCTCCTCAAGGCTCCTTTCTATCTGCTAGATGGGATGCTGCCCAATTCACAAATCATTGAATAAAGCCAATAAGATCAGTTGAATTTTGTTTAAAATTTATTCAGTTGAATTTTGTTTTCTAACAGTTTATCTAGATAAACATATAGGTAGACAGATGGTGGATAGGGAGATTAGATATAGATAGATAGATAGATAGATAGATAGATAGATAGATAGATAGATAGATAATTGATAGATAAATAGATAGATAGATATAAAAAATAATATAAACAGAGCCATTTTAACAAGGAGTCAGAGATGCCAACCCAGAGAACTACCTTGTATGTCTCACTCCTCAAACATTTGGAATGTTAAAATACAGCAAAATAACCTTTGGACTGGGCCTAAGGCAACTTGTATCTCAAACGGCTGTTTGGAAAGATAGCAAGAATGAATATGGACTGCTGACTACCAGGCTGGAAATTAGCCTGGTATGTTAGCTAATCTTCATTTATAGAAATTCCTTCTTTCTGTTGGTGTAATTGTTCCCCTTCCCTTTCTCATAAATACCCCTTGCCTTCACCTCCTAATCAAAACACTATTTGGGTTTCTGACTGAATCATTGCTTCCCAAATAGCTACTCTTTTGGATATCAAATAAATGGTTGTTGCCTCTCACTTTGGCCTTTTATTTTAGCTTAACAATAGATAGGTAAGATAGGATATACATCTAAATTTTTAGATGCATCATCAACTGGGAAGAAGAATGGAAAAGTTGTGAAAGAAATTGGATAAAAGTAGGAAGAAGGCAAGAAAATAACTGGGTGTGGAGCAGGTTCTATGAACACACTGTGTGTGTTAGTAAAAGCTAATGAGGTAGACTTTAATCATCAGAGTTTGTAAGAACTCATGAAATTGCCCTGTGCCAATGACCAAATCACTAACCGATCAATGACGTACAAATCTAGCCTTTTGCCTGATGACCAAATCACAAGCCAATCTATAAAGTACAAATTTTACTCAACAGCATAGCTTTTTTTTATTACTGTTAAATATTTAAATCTTACAAGATGTGTAAACTTTAAAGATATAGAATAAACATCCATCACCGAGCTTAAGAAATAAAGAAGATAGAAGTGCAGTAGAAGCTGTCCCAACTTTACCCTTCTCCTCTCCCAGCCCCTCCCCATGCTCTCACTCCCAGCTCTTTAGGATTTGGTATTTTTAATTGCACATCTTTACCCTTAAGCACATTTCTATGAGTCAATATACAATGCATGGTTTTCTTTTGCAAGCTTTTAAGCTTTGACATACTGATATACTTAATTTATTATTCTGCAACTTTCTCTTTTTAGTTCAAAATATAATTAAAATTTATCTATATTTTTTCTGTCTTCCTCTGGTACATTATTTTCACTGACTTGTAGTATTATATTAATAACTGAACCACAATTATTTATTCATTCTCCTCAATAGACATTTAGGTTCTTTCCACATTTCAAGCTCTTATAAAGAATGTAGAAATAAACATTATTTGATACTTTTATCATATGTGTGGACATTTCTCTAAGAACAAAAGTAGGGTTGGAGTTTTTGGGTCAAATTACAACATAATTTTTTAATCCTCTTTTTATAACTTTCTTGATTTATCTATATACAACAACAATAACAATAAAAATGATTGTTATAGAACAGAGATTTAAAAAAACCATTTAACTCAACAGTTTATTTAATTCATTATGGAGACTGCCCATCCTTGTTTCCATGTGAAGAACTGTGAGATTTCTTTGAATTATAAAGCATACTAGAACTTAATTGAAGTACATTGTGGGTCTCTTTGTGTATGTGATACAAAGCAAAATATGAAATCCTGCAATTCTTTTCAATTGTCTGACACATGTAACCTAGTCATTTTTCCTGGTCAAGCTGTCATTCAAGTATAAAGGTGACATTCAGGCATTTTCAAATGTGTCATGGGCCATAGCACCCATAAGTCATCCCTGAAGAACCATCTTAGTGACAAAAACCAGCAACTAAGGGAGGATTAGAGAAAGGATAGAAGAAGGGCAGGTGGAAGCACTTAGAAAGATCCAAAATTACAAAATGGCAGTAATTGTGGTTCAAAATGTAAACATTATACAACAACATTGTACAAGTAATACAAATGCAAAAATTTGAATGTGGAAGAAGTCACAGAGGGTTGAGAGAGAATGGAAAATTGCTCAGTTCCTTACCTTGTATTTACAGAATTATGTAGATTCTTCTTAAAGCAAATAAATAGTTTATTTCTTAATTCCACAAATATTTCTTGAGCATTTACTATAAGGCAGTCTTGGTGCTGTAAAAGATGACAAGAGTAAAACCATATTAAAATAGAACCAGAGTAGCCATTTCAGAGGAGCAGCCCTGCACATCTTGCTTTCTTTAGCTTTCAAACTGGACCAAACTGCCAACAATCCAAGAATTCAGTAACAATAAGAATATCCTGTTTGTGAGAACTGATGCAATTGGACTTTGCCAATGATCAAATTGCTAACCAATCAATGAAGTACAATCTAGTCTTTTGCCTGATGACCAAATCTCCAGCCAATCTATGAAGTACAAATCCAGCCTTACCTCATCTAGCACCAATGACCTCTTCTTTAATACAGCTTATCTTATCTCCCTCCCTTTTCTCCATAAAAACCCTGAGCCCCTTTCTTGCAAGTTGGGGAGATACTATTTGGGCTTCTGCCTGAATCTGTATTTCCAGAATTGCAATTCCTTTCACCCCAAGTAAACACTTTTTGTTCAGTTATTGTCTCCTAGATTTTTAGGTTGACAGTGCTAAGTATTGGGAATACAGTGACAGAAATAAGACACTATCCTCAGTCTCACAGAGCTGGAGTATAATAGTAGGAGAAACAGGCATTAAACAACTCACACAAATAAATAAAAGTAAAATAAGTCTGATAAACAATATGAAGTGAAGCTACATGGTGCTTGAGGATATCCACTAGGGGGAATTTATATCTAATCAGTGGAGCTGGGGAAGGCTTCTCCTTGAGATGAGACCTATGAGATGAGATCACAGGTGCTAAGAGCAACAGGGCACAGCAGGATGGAACATGGCACATTCTAATACCAGGTGAAACAGAGCCAAACAAACGGGAGCATCAGGGCTTGAGGGGTTTGGCAATAAGCGATAAGACATGGAGTTCAGAAAATCATTTAGTCATAAAAGTATTCACTTTATATCTGTCATTGTCTAATCACATCTACCAAAGATGAGTTGATTAACCCACTTTTTTCAACAAATAAGTGACAAGATTATAAATTGGGTATAGATTTTTAAAAATCTAATTGTAAAATGACATTTATGAGACAATTGGGAAAATCTGGACTCTGACCATTATATGATAGTAAGGAATTAACTGTTTTCAGGTGTGATAATGGCATTACATTTACATTAAAAAAAATGAGTCATCATCTGTTAGAGAGACATTCTGAAATGTTTGCAAATGGAATAATGATATGGCCAGAATTTTCATTAAAATAATTCAACATTCAGCATGAAGGAAGGGAAATGGACAAAAATAAAGATAATGTTGGCATATGTTGAGAATTAGTGGAGCACGGTAATGGGGACATAGATAGGTATTTGTTACATTCCTCTGCTTTGTGTATATTTCAAAAAAAGCAGGGAAAACCACATAAGTTTCTAGCCTCATAAGAGGGATTGTGGATTCTAGGAGAGGCAAATTCTTTATCTGTTTCCTCAACTTGAAAATAGAGCTATTATCACTGTGTGGTGGTAATGTAAGAAGGTATTGTTATTAGGAAACACACATGGAAGTAAAATAATTACAGGGGCATTATGTGTGCAACCTATTCTCAAATAGTGCAGAAAAAAATAACTTTATATATCAATACATGGAGAAATAGAATGATAAAGCAAATATGACAAAATGTTAACATTCTTGGTGATCTCTACGTTATTCTTGCAGTAATGCAATTTGGAATTATTTCAAAGTAAAAACTAAAATTATTACTTACCAAAACATAGAAAACATCAAAATTAATAAAACTATTTTTTAATGATGCAAAAAATTAAAATATAGATGCAAAATTATGTTAATGGTTACACCTCTTAGATGTTCATAGAAGCATTATTCATATTAATAAAGATTTAAATCACCTAAATATTAAGAAATTTAATTAAATGAATTAAGATAGATGCATAACATTCAGACATTAAGGACTATTTAATAACATATATGATGCTTTTTTTTAAAGATTTTTTTTATTGGGGAATTGGGGGAGGGGAACAGCGCTAGGGAATCAGGAAAGAAGAACAGACAAGTTGCTGTCCTTTTGTTCTTCAGTCTAGTTGTGAAGGATGTTGCTTCGCAGGCCCATGTTTGTATTGTGATCATTGCGTTCTTCCCAGGTGAGGCAGACCGGTCGCCGGCCTCTGGACGGCAGCTCACAGCAGCTCTTGGCAGCTCACGCTGGCTGCCGGCCACTCACGCTGGCTGGCCGACACTCACGGTAGCTTGTGGCAGCCCACTGCAGCAGGGGCTTCAGCCTATGCCATCACCGGTGACTTACGGCAGCCCAGCTCGAAGTCAAGCTGTTGTTCACCATCTTAGCTGTAGAGGGTGCAGCATCAACTGGCCCACATGTGGGATCCGAACCAGGGCCCTGCTGCTCAGAGCTGGCGTCCCAAGCCAGCTCTTAACCAATGCACCACTCAGCCGGCCCTATGATGCTTTTTTAAAACAAAAACTTTTCCTATATGATCACAATTTAAATATTAAAAGTACATGTGTACAAGGTGTGATCATAAAATACGGTGAATATTTAAATAAAAAAATATTACAGTAAAAGACACATTGCCATTAATTTTCCTCAAAATACACCCCCTCGCTTTGAACATACTTATCCCTTCATTCTTGTCACTTTCTGAAGCAGTTCTGAAAGTCCTCTTTCATGAGTGTCTTTAGTTGCACTGTCATGGCTGCCTCGATGCCCTGAATTGATTCAAAACATTTACCTTTCTTGGTCATTTTGACTTTGGGGAAGAGCCACAAGTTGCACGATGCCAGATCCGGTGAATAAGGTGGATGAGGACACACCGTAATGTTTTTATTTGACAGAAATTGCCATACACCAGAAGCGCTGTGTGCCGTGGAGCATTGTCATGATGGAGGATGAAGTGAAGACAGTCACGAAAGAGGATTTCCAGAACTGCTTCAGAAAGTGGCAAGAACAATGGGATAAGTGTGTTTGAAGTGAGGGGGGAGTATTTTGAGGGGGATTAATGGCAATGTGTCTTTTACTGTAATAACATTTTTTTTAAACATTCACCATATCTTTTGATCATACCTCATTCAAGAGGTTCTGGTCCTGGTTAAGATGAAGAAATCATACTCCGTTTCATCTCTTTCACTGATTACAATTGTCAGAGTGTGTGACGGCCCCAGTATGAGGTGTCCGTGACTCTGGGAGCTAGCTGGAAGAAAATGCATGGAGCCAAAGGGCAGAGTAGATATACTTTATTCACTGACTCTCTAGGTACTGCCCACCTGGTACAAATGGCTGGGATTTATACTGTGCGGGGATAATAGTGGCTCACAGCGTAAGTGCTTACACAAGAGTACATAAACATGACATCAGCAAGATGGACAGCGCCTGAGCAACCTTCCGTCTTCTGTACCCGGTGGGTCGCTACAGCAGTTTCACCAGATGGCCAGGCGAGGGAGCCCAACCGACTCTATTTTCCCTACAACAATAAAACAACAAAAAAACTTGCACAGGCTTCAAGTTTAACTATCAGAGGTCTCTGAAAACTAATAAGGCAAATAGTAAGAGAATCAAACCTCTAAGAGTGATCAATCCATGTGGGTTCCTATTTATTTAGTTTGATTTAGTTTGGGTTGGTTTTTTTTTTGGTGTTTTTTTTTTTTTTTTTTTTTTTAGCTGAGCCATCCTGCCACCTGTTGGCAGCTCAGCAGCAGCTCAGCTCAGGCTGGGAATGGGTCCAGACAGGAAAGATCTATGAGAACTTACTCTCTCTAGCCAGTCCCAGGAAGGGGTATTTTTTCGTATTTCACAGTTATTTTCATNTTGCCTCCTATAGTTATGTGACCTAAAACTGCCATATCTCTCAAAACCGGGAATGGGTCCAGACAGGAAAGATCTATGAGAACTTACTCTCTCTAGCCAGTCCCAGGAAGGGGTATTTTTTCGTATTTCACAGTTATTTTCATATTCTGGCCACAGCCTTGAGGCTCCTCAAGTAAAGAAGCTACAACTGATGGAGGCTCCCACAGACTCTTTGTTCTCGCTGCCTTGTCACGTGGTCAGCCTTGCTCTAGGAAGTGCAGGACAGCATGGAGGAAGCTAAAGCTTCCACTTTGCAGCAGAGTACCCAGAAAGAAGTCCGTGGGAACCAGAAGGTGTGGGAAGACCTGGAGAGGAGAGAGCTGGAGAAAGAAATCCTTTAAATCTAGGTAGGAAGTGCAGGCTTACTCTCAATATTCACATGCATGAAATAGACTGGAATCAACACAAGAGCTTTGAGAACTTACTATGGCATAGACCACCTCCCAGGTCCCAGGTGGACAAGACAGTATTGCAAAGATGGTGAATATGAAAGTCATGTTGGGATCACAACTCACAGAAGGGGGCCAGGACTTGCAGGATGACTGGCTGCTAAAACAAAACAAACAGACAAAAAATGTCAGCGTTCTTCAAAAGACTTTATCAAGTTCCAGAGTTTTATATTATAATGTTGAAAGTGTACTGTATAATCTCTAAAGTTACATGACAAACTGCCATTTCACATAATGGGTAAATTGCACAGACATTACAGAGCGAAAAAAATTCACACACATAAAAAAGTGAATGCCATATGATTCGATTATTATAAAGTTCAAAAACAGGTAAAATGAATCCATGGTGTTGAAAGCAGAATAGTGGTTAACTTTGGGAAGGTACTAATGACTGGAGGAGACTCAGTGGGGCTTGTGGAGTAAAGGCATGATTCTATATGTTAGTCTGGGCAATGGCTGCACACATGTGCTCATTTGGAAAACAGTGTTCAAAGTGTTACTTAGAATTGGTGTGCTTTCCTGTAATATTATGCATTAAGAAAATGCCTCCCCCCCCCCAAATAAAATAATGGTGCTTGTAGGGGTTTTATTTCTAGAGATTTCTTCAGTTCTGCCTATTGTCTTTATGTGTGGACAATAACCTCACTTGCATGATGTTCTTGTGTCATAATTTATCTCCCTCAGGATGCTGTGGACATTGCCACACTGTCTCCTGGCTTTGTTTTGTAAAAGTCTGAAACCCTCTGCACTCAATTGCCCTTGTTGGTGCTAGGATTTTTCTGCCTAAGTACCTGAAATATGTTTTTCTTCATTCTTGAAGTTCAATAAATGTGCCTTGATATTCATAACTGTGTGAATTCTTTCTTGATGTACTTTGTGGGGTGTTTTCTCTGAACTGCATAACCTATTATTCTTCTCTTTCAGAAAATTTTTCCTTTATTATATTCCAAATAACATTCTCTGTTCAATTTGTTTTTCTCTCACCTTTGGGTGACACCAACCATCCTTATCCAGCTCATTTTTCTCTGCCTTCTACCTCTGTCATCTGTTCACTAATTGTTTGTGTTTTCAATAATTTCTCTTCACTTACATCTATAATGATGTTGTGTTGGCTCTCTTAGCTCTGTAATCTTGCTTTTCTTCTTGTCCTCTAATTTCATTTCACTTTGAGCTCTGATTTGGTGAATACATTGTTAAGTTCTGCAATAGCTTGAAGCATTTATGGATAAACTGCCTGTGGTCCCTCAGTTGTGTTTTCATTGGCGTTTAATCCTTATTTTCATGTGCTATTTTCCTACCTTTCTCTCTGTTCTGCATACATATAAACCATGTATTTTCACTGCTTTTATACATTTCTCAGGCAGCTCAGTGCTGAACTTTGATCTGCTCTGCTGCAGGTAGGTGAGTTCTCTTTGACACCTTTCTCAGTTACTAAATCCATCTTCCACTCTCAGCTGCATTCAACTTGAGTGAGTGCTGGGAGCTGTTTTAGAAACTGCTCTTCTGAACTCTAAGGATACAAATATGGGGAAAATGGAGAAAGGATATTATGCTAAGTATTGTCCTTACTGATCTTCAGTTTGCTCTTTCTTCTAGAATCCCGTCATTGTTCTACACCCGATTCTATACCCCCACAAGGGTGGCTCCTCCCCCGTGAGCACAGTGCCCTGGAGAATGGTAGACCCCCCCAGTGGTTCTCCTGCCTCTGCCACGGTCCCACCTGGCATGAAGCATTTCCACTCTGAGGTGAGTCTCCTTAACTTCTCCCAGGTTTCTCACTCACTTCCTCACTTGCTTCTCTCTAATTCATGTCACTCACCAAAATGCAGTGTGTTATGAGCTACCTTGTGCTTTTTACACCAGATTCTTTATTCTCTTTCCTTGGCTTTTATAATATTAGGTTTTGTTTCATTTTGGTTTTTCTTTCTTTCTTTGATTGCAGTTAGTTGTTTGGGTTTGATATGTTTTTACTTTTTAAAATTTCATCAGGTATCAAAGGAGGAAGAGTCTATAATTCCACTTTTTCCTGCCACCACCTTAGCTTGGAAGTCCCCAGTGTAATGGCTTATATTAATAGAAACTCAAAATAAAATGGAAACTAAGAGGGCAACAGGTTATGTAAATAAGCAACAGGCGGTTCGGGTCTCCTCCTTGCAGACCTGGCACGTGTTCCTACTTCTTTCTACTGAGTGAAATTAAAAACAGACATACAGGGTTGACCACACGGAAGTAATAACAGCCATTCTAATTGTAAGCTAAGGAAGAGTCTAGACTGAGATAGTTTAATATCAATTCTCCTGGGTGGATAAAACAATCAGAGGATATGAGATACTTTCTGATACTAATGAAGCTCTTTATCTGCCTAAATTATTGATGACCTAGGGAGTACTGACACGTAGGGACCAGTCTCACCGCTGCCCTTCTTTGTACCTTTGGGGGTGTACCCCAGTTTTCCTTCAACAGTTCCCACCTCTATAAAGTATGATGGTGATGTCTGACTCAACTAAATGTCTGAGAAGAAATGAGATAATAAACACAAAGTGCTTTGTGGGAGAATTAGGCCTCTGCTCTTGCTGCTTCTTTTTTTCACATAAAATGAATTTGAAGACCTGATGTTTGTGATCTGCACCATTAATGGTGTTTGTAATGCTACCTGTGTGTGTTTAAGACCCTAGGGTTCTCATGGCTGCCTCCCCCAAATAAGCATTCAGGTTCAACTTGGCAAACGCTGAAGTACCCGTGAGCATAGTGGTAAAGCTTCTCAAAGATTTTCTGTGGTGTTCACTCATATGTTTCTTCCTGGTCCTACATCATTCTTAAGAGTCCTTAAGAGATGGGTTAGACACTTAAAAAGGGAGTGAATTATTTCAAGCCAATAGGGGACCAGTGTGGTCCACATTAATTAGAGTTAGTACCTTTTAAGTTCCTAGTATATTCCAAGTGCCCTGTTAGTTGTGTTCAAATCCATGTCCTCCAGTCCTATCAACAATATTATAAGAAAGATGGAAAAACTAGTAATACTTGGGAATGCTAAGGAATTTGCCTGGGACACACAGCTATGCAGTGGCAGATTCAGAATTGAAATGTCAGTCTTCCTACTGGAAGCCTGAGCCTGGGTGCTGCAGCTCATTGTTGGTGACTGTTGAGTTCAACTTACATTAGCTTTCAAGTCACTGTGTACATAAATGTAAGAAATGCTGGATTCAATGAGGGATAATCAGAGGCCTTACATACACCAGTTTCCTTGACAGAAAACAAAAGAGAAACAGGAAGACTTGTATTCAATGATGATACACTTCTCTAAGTATCTAACCTTCTCGTCTTGAAGGAAACTTCACTCTACCTAGGATCACAATAATCTCTGTTGATGGATTGATAAATTCTCCTATGCCCAGGGTTTCTTGAGAAAAATTGTTCTTTCCCCTGACTTTCTTGGCTAAGCACCGTTTTCTTAGGCAGCCCACAGAGACATCTCTATGACCCTTGGCCCCAGCCCAAGCCAGGGAGAACTCACCTGCCCTAGCCTGTCTGCCAGGTGGGCTCCAGGTCTGGGCCTGCCTCCTGCCTGTGAGGGGTCACATGGGTTTACTCAGCTGCTATAGTTGTGCTGTTGCTATTTTCGACCTAAGCCCAAGTGTTCTTTGGAGACAATCTGTACAATATCTTCTCTGTCCATACTGAAATCATTTTAGTCATAGGAGAATCCCACCAGCACAATTGCTGTATCCCAAACAAATATATCACCTGCTATAAAACTCCTCCATATGAGAAATATTTCTGTATTTTATCTTATGTCTGATCTACGTGTAGTTTTCTTGTTTTTGTTAGGTTTAATGTGTGGTTTGAAACATATAGTCTATTTTGATTACTTCAGCATAAATGATGTTTAATAAATTCTTTTTTTATCAGTTTCAGGTGTACAAAACAATGTAATAGTTAGACATTTATACCCCTCACAACGTGATAACCCCACTTCCCCAATCTACTACTCCTCTGACATCGTATGTAGCTGTTACAATTCCACTGACTGTATTCCCAATGATATATTCCACATCCTGTGAATATATATATATATATATATATATATATATATATATATATATATTATAGTTGACATTCATTATTATTCAGCTTCAGGTGTACTTAATAACTACTATGTTAAGGGCCAAATAAGATGTGATGTTAAAAGATTTCCATAAGCAAACTCTACTATTTGAAGTTTACTTCTATCTTTGTACTCTCAAATATTTTTACACACCAGTGACATCTGTGTTAAGATATTACTGATGAAATGAATCCTGAAAATTGAGTGAAATGTATCAAATTGAAAATGTACAAGGCATTAATTGAGGGCTCCTGCTGTACCTTTTTAAAATTCATTTGCTGTCTTTCCTGTTGGAGCCTCAAAAAGAGAGACCCAGACAAATCATCAGGCTGGTAAGGTGAGCTATGTGACAAGCTCTCCATATAGAACTGTATTAGCTACTGATAGCTATTATTAATAGCTCTGAAAATGGTGAAGTTACCACAAAGCACTCTGCCTAGCGTGTTCCTTTGTTTTATGGCTGCACTGAGTTTAATGTGAGGAATGATACAGCTTCCATCTTCTCCAAGACTCTTCCTCCAAGAGCCCAAAGTGCTTTGCAAATGTGTTCTTACCGATTTCCATAGCTCTGATGCAGTGTTTTGAAGACACCAGAGGGAAGCTGTGCAGCCGAGGCTATTCAGTCAGTGGAGAGACCCACTCCCACTGCTGACGTTGGGCCTGGCTGCTTCCTGGCCCTATCCTGCCCTTCCTCACTTCCTCCTAAACAAGAGGCTTTGCAAACAAGAAGCTCAAATTCATTATACCGTGCAGGGTTTTTATATGCCTTCAATTTGTTCAGTTTTCAAAAACAGTTTTAAATGGCTGTTACTTCCTTTGGAGAGTTATCGTGGTTAAGGATTTCTCTATTAGGAAAAAAATTTCCCAGCATTCTACAGGCTTTCTTCGTATGTGTAACACAATGGACAATGGCAGACATGGAAGCTCAATGAGCAATTTTTAATAAATAGAATTTCTTTTTTTAAAGGAGGAAAGAAAAATTTTTAGAAATCTAA